AATTCAGCTATTCCATTTCTACCTTGTTTTCTTGGAACAAATATATATATATTTCCCATTAGAATGAACATCTCCATTTATGTTTGAATTTCTGTGTTTTCTCTTTGGTGCCCATAATGCAGGATCATATTGCAGTTACAAAAAACAATATGCAGTTTAGTGCCCTTGAAAAGCAAAAGAACAAAGTAGTAGTAATAGTTTTTAATCATTTTTCACACTAGCAGTGTTGCTTTCCAGCTTGATTCAGATTCTCTTTGTGATGTGCTGACCTAATATTTCCATCTTGACATCTTGCCTGAGAACACGAAGTGGAAACAGGAAAAAAAGAAAATAAGGGACCAATATTTCAGAATAACTAAAACAGTGTACACCATAATTTAGAGAGAGTGTGATACTGTGGGTTTGCTTGTTATATGCTGGGATATGTTGTGAAATCTGTAGGTTTTTCTATGGGGCTCATAATCCCAGTACTATATCTGAGTGCTGCAGATACATTGGTAAATTTATCCTCATGGTGCCCCTAGAAGTTAGGGAAGAGTTTGATTCCCATTTTACAGAAGAGAAACTGAAATTAAATTACTTACACAAGTTCACACAGGATAGCTTTGACAGAGCAAAGACCAGAACCCAGGTTTCCTGAATCCTGGTCCACAGTCTTCACCAAATAGTATAAAAGCCATTATTTCCTGATGTCCGGCTAGTATAAATACTCACAAGTTTCAGAAGGGTAGCCATGTTGGTTTGTTTCAGCAAAACCAATGAGAAGTCCTTAAAGATTGTCGTGAAAGTTTATTCCCAAATACATTTGTTAGTGCCACAAGGATTCCTTGTTTTTGTTGGGCTTATATATATCTATATAAAAAATGAAGGAGCATCTCTATGGATGAACAGCTTCAGTTCAGATGAAGACTTGTGCACTGTCCTTTTCATATTAATAAAAAATGGAATCTCTCTGCTCAAATTTGAAATCTGTAGTTGAATATCTAATTGCCATGACAGTGTATTTGTTACATACTGTGTAGCGGTTCCTGATGTCTTGGCACGCAAAGGGTCTGACAAGAGATAGTGTAAAATAGATGTGTTTTCAAAAATAAAAACACTTAAATGCCGTACTGTTCCCTTAGTCCATGCAAACATTTCCAGTTGGAATACAGGGAAGTTGTATGTGTGTATCAAGAGCACACTTTAGCCTTTTCAGATACATTTTTAAATGGGATTGATCAGTCATACATATTTATTCTGAGAGCAGGGTATAGGATCTGGTCCAATTTCCAAGGAAGCAATTGAGGTTTAAATCAGGCCCATGTAGAATATCCTGGATACAACAAAATAAATATTGATGAAGCAAGCATCATTTTTCCACTGCCTCTCACCACCACCGGTGCCACTCCAAAACTTTGTCATCTCCTTTGTGAGTAAGACCCATTAAGATGTTACATATTTGTGTACCTAGTCAAACTTTCAAAAGTGCAGTGAAATTCTAGCATTCAAACAAAAGTCAATTGAATACATGTGTTACTGCAGAAAAATATATATATAGCTAA